TACAGAACGAAATCACCACAAAAATCCCAAATCTCTTCACACTACCAACTCTATTTCCTTCTTGGTGGGTGAAATCTCTCACTTGCCTGTTAATTCCCGGGTCAAATGATCAAATAGGCTGGAACAAAGTACCAGCACAAGGGTGTGAATATGATGCGATAACTTCCGTCATTATAAGTGGAATCTGAATTGCCGGCGTCCGAACCATTTATTTTATCCAGGTCTCCAAGCAGATGGGATTACGAAATAAAATTTTGGCGGACCGCGGGTGAAGTCCCTTCCCAGTAGAGTTCTAGAAAATTGGACTCTGGTCCACATTATCATAATCTACACGCTAGTGTTCACGAAACGCAAAAGGAAACCTGTAACATCTTACTTCAACTGCCCTGAATGAACAGGTTTAGACCACAATTTGTCCAGTAAATAGAGCGCGGCAGAATTCAGAAAGGCAATTAAATTTACACAATCCGAACTCTAGTTGAGATCAGCCGGCAAAAGCAATCTGTTTGATGCCATCATTGAGAACCGTGTCTGTAATGGACAGTAGAAAGTTGTCTCTCAGTCCTGCCGAAGTAAGAATCCAAGCTAACATGGTCCCAGATATGTCACTGAACTTTTCGGATGACGAACTATCCACTATGACCGATAGATCATGACAGCATCAGCTCACGAACATATAGAATAGAATTCACGAAAGCCCAAATTTACAGTCTGCGGAATAACATTCATCCGCAGTGGCACACTAGATCTATCGGCGAATTGAGGGGCAAACAGTGTATCTGAATTTCTCCCGCACATAGAGAAAGCGTCTTTGGTAAACAAAGTAGAGAGTCAACACCATCGCTTCATCACAAATGGGTAACGGGATACAAAGTAAAACAAACCACACTTTTCTCACCTATGCTTGACACAAGAAGCGCACTAAGAAGTAGCCTTCGTATAATGTTTACTGTCGGTATGACTCTCTCTGCTTCGCAGTTTTAGCACCTTACCTTGCCAAGTTGAGGACTACGTAGCTGGTCAAGCCAGAGTTGCAAACTACCGTGGTCTGCATGCCATCCGTTCAACTTCCAAGGCCAATCGAAGTGAAGCTTGCCATTATTGGAGATGTGAAATGTGGGAAGGTATGTAAACCCTTATCCGGTGCACATGTGTTAGAGCTGCCTAATCAAACGGTTTTGTGAAAAGAGATACACAGCCAAATACTTCCCGACAATCGGGGTTGATTTTGGGATAAAGAGGTACGGTTCTGTTGCTAATCGTAATTGTTCTGACCTTGAAGGACTTCCATCAGAAACAAACAGCTGAAAGTGAACGTTTTCGATATGGCTGGTGATATGGTCTACTACGAAGTTCGGAATGAGTTTTATGACTCAGTCTCTGGGATTTTGTTGGTTTTTGATGTAACAAGGCAGAATAGCTTTCGTTCCCTCGGTCGATGGCTCCAAGAGCTCAGAACTGAGGCGGGCAACCATGTGAGCGAAATCGCAGTTTGTGTTTGTGGAAATAAGGTATGTTGAATTTGCCCTCAACCGTTTTTTAATACTAATAATTTCACATTTTTTCATACATTTTGGACAAACCAAAATTTCGCACCGTGACACAATACAACATCAACTCTCTGTGGCCACAGAATTTTCGTCACGTCATCCGGTAGTGAATAGTCCCTTAACTGATGGAAAACTCAAGTGAATTTTGAAAATCCTTTTCTTCACCGAAGAGTACTTGTGATTTGTAAGTAAAGGGAAGATTTTGAGGTCCGATTGGACTTCCATTTTGCAAAAGCAACCAATCGAAGCCGAAAAAACGAGATGCGCTGCAGTGTGCTTCATTCTTGTTGAAAATCACTGACGGTGTGCATACTCAGAATCCAAAGGGGGTTTGAGCCATTAATCACTCGGATCTTGGAGCAGTTGATGAAGAATACATTCCGCCTGGGAAGCTTCTGAACTCAGGGGACTACTTGCACCGCGGTATAGAATGCACAAATAAATCCTTTACCAAGATGTTCTGAGTTCCATAAAACCTCGATGAAACCATAGTTTTATCTTTAATAATCCAAGAAGGATCGACCTGATTTATTTGTTTAGCGACAACAAACTGTACGATTGTGAAGTTAGGCTGTGACAGCAGCTGACTCAGACATCAACAATCAAAGGCATCTATCCTGGACAATTACTAAACGTTAATACGGGCCATCTGACCAGCTTTCATTCAGGGAATGATTTCGAAACGGTAGAGGCACTACTCTCGATATATCTGAGCCCTAACAATATCTGATCCGCGAGAAGGGCTAATCTGGCAATGTGCTAAAATTACATAACGAGCACCCTCAATCTACGACACACAGATACAGAAGGCAGATTTGTAGTAGCCAGTTATCTAATAATTGTGACCTCGTCATTAGAAGAAAGGGTTTCGAAAATATTTCTCACAAGTGCGTTTATCCATCACCAGCATGACTGAGCCACTTCGTCTTAGCCCGCATTTGGTTGATTCTAGACAAACGTCACGTGAACACCAACACATACAACTCATCGATTATGAGGACACAATGTCTTTGCCGATAAACGGGGCGGAATGAACCCGATCATGCATTGACCTGACAACATCCAGAAAGGCTTATTGTCAACACCTTTCTTGTTGTTCATTCTCAGTCAGATCGGTTTTGCTATGAGTGACTGTATGGGAAGCATAATCTTCCGCGACCCAAGACTTCGTCGGTGATACCGACCGGCACCAATAATTCTGATTCAACAGTCAACTCGTTCTCCAAAATACCACGCCATATTTCTCTTCTAAAACCGCACAACTACTTCTTGAGCCTAAGTAACAAAGCTTGATGTCATTAGGCACTTTATGAGAGTGACGACCTAGATATTTAAACTGGTCAGAACCTGACTGGTAGGCCCGTCTCAGCAAATCCCAGGGCAATCCTTCACTTATTTCATCATTCAGCAGGCCGTAATACATGATGAAGGCGTCCATTAAACCTCACCTACCTGGTGAAGCGAACATTTTACCTTATTAACGTTGGAAAGATGACGTGCACTAGTTGACACCCATAACGAGTCTAGCTGCCTAAAAATAAAACTAGAATGCAGATAAATTCTGTGGCTCGCACTTCTTCAGCAAAACATTCCAACTTGTTTCTGCATTTAAATTCCCCTAATTTGTTTTGCTGTCTCCGAACTTTAACGGAAATAATGATGCGCGTCAAATGATGCAAAAACCACACCAACGTGACACCTGGACACCTGAATGCTAGCTGCTTTCACTCAGCAATTCATTTCGGTGTTTATCCGAGCCCCCAGTGTGAATCTCAACGAAAAAAGTATCACGCCTTGGCTTCTTTATAAACTTCCAGGTTGCACCGTAGTTGTCTGGACCTTTGCTCACTTTATCACCCTTGTGTTCAGCGATCACTGGTAATCGATTACCTGTCAAATGTCCAAGTGTGTTGTATGTCAAGAGTGACTTATTTACTGTATGTTCTTCGTGGAACGGACTGAAAGATTGCTGTCCAGTCGCACTCGACACCTCGGCCGAGTCCCTCAAGTGGTGAACCAGAGACACGGCGTAACGTATTCGACATAATGAAAATCGTTGCTAGAAAAATTTCACTGCAAAGTTAATTTTGGAAATCTATTAAGGCGAATTGAGGCAAATGCTTTTTCAGTTTTAAAACTCGATTCCTTAAAATGGAGTTACTGGTCCCTTCTTACGACATTACTCGCATGATGGACGAAAAGGCTCAAACCTGCCCAGCAACGAAGGATAATCCTTCATCCTCTGGAACTTAGTTCCAACTGCGGCGTCAGCTGGCCTTTAATACATTCAGTTGAACAATATGACAAAAAAGAGGTTCAGTCAAGTCCCCGCTAACACCGTTCTGACGTGCGTAACTCTGTAGGAGGAAGAGGGCCACAGGCTACCGAGATTTTGATTATCTTTTCAGCTGAAACAATAAAATCCATCAGGCTTACATCTTAAATTTAGACAACTATCAATGGATTAGTGGAACGAAGCCAATCTTATATTGTGTGCTAGCCAGGCTCCACTCTCAAGTACAAGATAAGTGAACAGCTTGTGTCACGATCTTTTGTGTACACTCTGAATATTACCTAATCAACGGAAGGCTAACAATTTCGGGTTGGTATTGCGGATCAGAAACCTGATAGTTACAGTGTGCTTAACTCTGTAACGATGGCATAGGACGCGCTCAACGAAGCAGACTTTCGAGTCTTCGCTTGCAAATCAATCTGCCAGTCACGTGGTTCAGATGGAGCGGCAAGTGTTCTGAAACACGTTTGCCAAAGCTCCAGTCCGCTCTTCCATNGGTTACTTCATGCGAGTTCATGTGAATTGGTACACAATGTGAGACCGAGAAATTTGATACCAAACACGGTGCATATATGTGACTTATTCTGCTGGTTGATTGGAGCAGGATGAATTGGGCGACTGCATGCATAAGACCGATCACAGTGAGTAATTTGTGCCGAATGCATTTTGATCGGTCTGTGTGATCTTTCACTATACAGCATATTTGAAAGTGCCATCTGGGTACCTAACCATATGGAACAATAAAAATGCGGACCAGTCTCTGCCTAAATAGACACTAACACGGTTTGATGTAAACTATCCACAAGTTTCAATGGGTGACGATCAGTGTCGTCCGCAGATCGTTTGTACAGTATGCCAATGGGGATCTCAGGAAGTTGTCTTTCAGTTATACCTCAAAACACATTTACATCGAGTTACTCACTAACAAGCTGTTAATCTTCAATGCATAATGGGACCAGCCCACCTAAATATTCTAGGTGCATGTGTGTGTTAATCGAACCCCACAAAGAACCTAAAGATAGTTGTAAAGGGGCATAGAGAGATAGATCCACCTAAAAAACTCCTTATGTGAACTCAGTGGACTGTAGCTTGCACAATTTCAAAACAATTACTGATCAGAAGGTTCGTGTTATGAACCCTCACTCGACCTCTCGACTGCCTCTCTTCAGGCTTGGACAGTATCTCAGAACTAATGTCTTCTTCGGGTGGCACGACAGCTAGGCATCGAAATGGTATCACAGCTGAACAACTATTTATTTATTTAACTTCTGGTACGAGCAGACTTATGTATGGTCAGAGTGGGAGAAGAACCCCATCATTATGTATCTTAGCTGAGCTTCGTAGATGTCACATTTCAGTCCCAGTAGGCTGGTGGTAAAAGCTTCTGTCCGACCTGTCTTGTTAGCTGGTCTACATCAGATCACAGCCTTCCTAGAAACCCGCTTTATCGGGCATTAGTATCTTGATTCTGTCTACATAATCCGTCTCTTCTTTGAATACAACATCTAAGACTTTATCCGGCCTGTGGAACACGAGCACCTTCATCCGTCTTCGTTGTCTGACCGTCTCATAACTTCTTTTCTCAGAAGTGAAAAAAAACGATGGCAGGTAACCAGTTTTTTTAATTCTGATTAGCGCTCATCACTATGCCTTAACTATTTTCTATCGGTTCTAATTCACAGACTGATCAATTCCCGCGGGAGGTCACCTATTTCGAAGCTTCGCAGTGGTGCGCTCGTCGAAATCTACCCTACTTCGAGACATCTGCTCTAACTGGCCACGGGGTCGATGAAGCAATTCACGTAAGAGAACAACAAAACAAAACAAAACAAATAAGAGTGCTAGGAAGGATAAGAAAAATGAATATTTCTGGAATATCATAGAGTTTGTTCAGGCAAGTGCGCCTCAGGTCTAGCAAGTGGCTTAATTTAGTGAGACATTCAGGTATCGTCTAGCAAGTGGCTTAATTTAGTGAGACATCAGCTAGCCAACCATAGAAAGTGAGAACCCAAAAGAAGTGAACTTTTCCTTTGGACATCCCCTGTGCCGTAAACAGTGAGATTCACAACGTTCTTTTTCCATAACTTTTAAACCAGCAAACTTGGTCTATAACCTTGTAATCTGATCATTGGCACAGTGTGCTTGGGACTGAACGGTTCAAGCCCTGCCATTTGGTAAACTGTTTCAGACGTAGAGTACGACTCACTCATGGGTGATCATTACATGATTTGAACTTTAATAAAATTCCATCAAATTCCAGACACTTCTGGAGTCCATTGTAGAGCCCAACGCAGAATCGACCTGGGCTCAACAAAACGGGGCTAGGCACTGGTGGGAAATACCGGAAAAGGAATGTGCGGACACACATTCAAACACAACATCCTCCAAATCGCATTCTACAGTGCGGTCTCCACACAACACTCGGGAAGTACCATCTTCGAAGCAGAAAGTTGGACATACGGATTCGCGTCAAAAGGATGTGAATGGATGCACTCAGAAAGAAGGGAACATTATCAAACGCATACAGAATGCCAAAACACACTACGAAATACTGGGTCTTGGGCCGCAAGCCACAAAGTAGGTTGGGTCGAATGAAACTGATATTTTACATACCGCCTTTAAAGGTTGTCGGAGAACAAGATGCTAAGTTAACGAACGGTTTAATCTCAGCTTTCCCATAGAATCCTAATCGTTGGCAGTAGCATCACAGAAAGTCGCCGGTGCAGAGCACCTGACCTAAATTGTCTTTAAGAAGCAGATCAGCTGATCCTAAATCCGTGAACGCCCGTTGATCATCATAATGCTAAAATGATGTTTGTTCTTAAGGGTGTTCAGCATATCGACTGAAGGAATTTGTAAGAATGTTTTTACCTGACGTCTCACAGTTTGCTCAGCAGCCAAGCCTTTTGGATGTACAGCTGCTATAGTTGTCACTGGTTTGGTTCCTGGAACGCCTATCAACACATTCAGAATGCGCGACTGTTTGCGCAACGTAAAAGGAAAGGAAGTGTCAACTGCACAGCCGTACTCATGCTTCACGAAGAGGCAAGAAGCGGTGTCCCAGCAGGCCGGCTTCTGATTACTACACACTTGTCCCAGTTGAAGGATGTCTGTGTCTAGTCCACCACAAACTGGCCCAAGCCCGAAATCGACCTAGGGTGCAAGCGTGATTTAGTAGAACTTTTCCTTGAACAATGTTTCAGTTGTAAATGCCTTTCTGAAAAAACTGCAGTTTTGCTTTCCAGCGCCTGCAAGCTTCTGCAATTAGATCTTAAAGCCTCTGATCGAACATCCTTCCATCACTGTCGCACTCAGTGGTATTCTTTCTTCTGAGAATGCGGGAATTTGGCATAATTTTTTATCCGTAATCCACCGGGCATAGAACAGTTATCCAACGGACACCCCCTTGGCCGTAGTAAAGTTGTGTGTGGCGGTTAGTAGGAATATTTTCTCGAAGCGGAACCGTCACACACTATCGGTTTTCAACATGCAACTAGCCAACTAACCGATTAAAGCGTTCTCGAGTCTCTCATTTAATCCTCTAACATAGAATCGTTGGATGAATGTCCCTAAGTTCGGTAGCTGTTCCAGAACAGAACGTTGAATCCTTGATCAGCAGGTGTCTATAGCTACTTCTGGCACACTCTCGGTGAATCCCAGGAACGAATCTGGGAGTGTTAAGACAGGTACACCCCAGCATATCAGTGCGACCATATCCCAAGTGGATGCAACGCAAAGACTCTGATAACCATGTAATCACGAAAATCCAAACGACGTACATGCCGGACAGATGTTCAAATTGAAATGAAGGGTACAAATTACAAAAACCAAAACGGAATGCAACCCCGGGCTGGGATTTGAACCACTGATCTCTCGTTTATGGACAGATATCTCACCAAATATACGACCGAAAATCGCTCGTCCTCGATTATACTCATGAACTTGAACTGTAAATTTCAATCCGATAGCTGGGTGGTTCGCAACAACTTGCCTCTCAGTTCGTGCAGCAGTTGTCCGATGAGCGAAGGATCATCGGTATGAATGTCAAGAGTCCCTATGTTAAAACTTCACATGTTGGGACTCTTCGTTTCAAGAACTATCATGTATCTATCTACTTCCTAACAGCTAAACCCAGAGCCCTGTGGGTATCCGGTCCTCTGTGGAGGCCGGTTCGTAACCCATTAAGCAGAAGCTTGGAGCTCGAGTTCAAGACTACCAGTTCAAACCTTATATGTTTAAAAGACTTCGGGTCACAAGGTGACTAGATTGGTGCTGATTTATCTGCACCTAAAATTTGGCTTTCAGTCTTTCAACTGGTTACCGTGCTCACGTTGACTCGCATTTACATATTGCGATATCGCACGACGCCATTGTTAATTCTATTAGGATACGCGTAATTCCATTGGTCATGTTAGACTGAAAAGAATCCGTGATGTGCCAAAACCAAATTCTGGTATCCATCCAACGCTGACTATATTCCTTTCCTTTTCACTGACAGAGATGAGATCAACAGAGCCTACAGAAGGCTGGCATTTGTCATCCATCCGGATAAAAATACCGCACCAGGGAGCGAGGAAGCGTTCAAAGCACTCACGGCTGCGCGCAGAGCATTGCTAAATTCAGGACTCCCGTGATATCTATGGTTCGTGGATATGGACAATGTCAAGAGTCGTGTTATCCAGACTGCGACGTGAAGATAACAAGTGTTCGAAGTTTTTTTCACTCGAATTTGACGGTGGCCACCCTTTCCATTTACAACTATCAAATTGTGTTGGCAACCTGAATGGCAAAGTTATGATCATCTATTACAACACATCTGGTCTTTCATACCAAACTATGTGTACTTTTGGATAGCGTTAACAACCCCCGAAGGGACAAAAACAATTCAGATCACGTGAGCAGTTACGTTGGAAGAGAAATGCGGGTCAAATTGCTAATAAAACCGATTCTGACATCTAGCCACCGTTCAGAAAGACGTAAGGGGCAGCGGATATGACAAATAACCGAAAAATCCTTCTCCAATGGGAAAATATAACGTCTCCGAATCGAAATTGGGGTTAAATACAACACCAAGTCAAGCACATGTCGAAAGAAAAGTCAGGAATATACCAAAAATCACGCTACTCCCGAATTGTATAGGAAATGGACAAACCTTCCCGATGCACATACCATCGCAGACCTTATAGTCCATGTTTCTTCAGTAGTCTCAACACTTTTGGGCTTCACAATGCACTTTGTCGCACTTCTAGGTTAAACCATACAAAACGTGAATATGACCTTACAGAACTAACTGTAAACCAGAATACCGCGACGATTTTTTCGGAGGCGACCAACTAAACGGTGTCAGAAACTACTCGGTGCAAGCAACATGACCCACTGAAGCAGAGTCTGACGAGCTATTCGACAGTGAGCCAATAACAACTGTGTTTCTATCGGTGAAAGAAAGAAGGCCTTCGATGCGGAGTTATTTATTCGGAAATGCCAACTGACCGGTTACAGACCATTGAACAGGGAAGCGAAACTCTAATCTGCATCTTAGTTCCAAAAACTGGACACAGATCGCCTCCCGAACGAGTTTTCTTAGAGATCAGTTGCCTCCACTCATTCGTCGGTCAAATCCAAGCAAATGTTACAAAGTGGCCCCACGAATTCCGTAACAGAATTCCCTTTATCCATCGACGCAAAGCGAAATTCTACAGCCAACACATACTACTCGCGTGCCTCCCGACCAGTAGTATCACCGTTTCACCGGTACTCGATATCGATTTGAAAATGTCTTAGGGGCATGTGACAACATGCCTGTTGGAATCATTATAAACGCAATGGTATGTGCCCCAAGTTTGCAAGCGAATCACTTTCCAGTGACCATACCAAACTTATCATCCTTAGTTGTGGAGGTTTGCGGTGGTGTTTTGATGCAAGTAGTCTGGTTGCGTCGGAAAGTATATGCAAAAATGGAACAAAACAATTGGGTTTAAACACGACATCCACATATTTGAACGTCAGATGGCCCACCAAAAGCCAAAGACGGTAGAAAACAGCAGTCTTTCAATACGGTATCATAAGTAACACTCATGGGAATATAGGAGAAAGGCATACATCGGGAACTCGTGATCTTGCAAGAGTGATCAGCAATGAAGACCATGCCATATTCCATTGGTTACACCAAAGTAGGAAAGACAAAAAAGTAATCCGATTCCAATGTGGGAAAATCAGACAGGGATTGGAACCAGGTTTGCTTGGATTTACTCCGGTGGTAGGCCGAGACTAATGCGAACGCTGCGCAAAGCCAATTTGTTAAACCGACGCTTGTCCTCTCGCCACGTTTTTGCCGCGTCCACATTTGCAGCACTCTCGTCATTCGGTTCTGCGAGGAAGAAATTCAAGTCGAGTATTGGAAGTCATTTACGAATATGAGTGACAGCCGGCGGGAGTGAAAACCAACTGATACGAGCATACCGAGTGAGGAGTGTGAAAGCGGACGAGTCGAAAGGGTACTCGAATTTCAGCCGATAGGTCTAAAAGTACGCTATTGTGGGAGTGTGTCTCCTTACTCTAGGATGTCTGTGGGTTTATGAAGAATGAAGGGTGACATACTTAGCACACAACCTATTGTGAACTGGTCACAGTCGGAATGAATCGCGGTACCGAACGGACATAGAGAAAAAGTATTCTCAGCAAATTTACCAACGATAAGACTGTCCGAGCACACTTGGGGTGATAAACCTATAAATGTCACCAAAACACACAGAAAGATAAGAAAAATGGCGTTTCCGACAAGTGGCTCAACTGGTCCACACAAGTGTAACATAACAAACACTTGGATAATTAAGTAAAAAAGTCGAAAAGTTGAGCAACAACAGAGGGGACAGGGTAGAAAAGCGATTCTCAAGTTTTTGCGCCCATCGCTCGACTAGTTTAGTGTGCATGACACTATCGCCACCCTAGTTTATATATATTACGCGTCCAGGGGTACCAGAACAGCTAAAAGAAAACGGACGAGTTGGTTGGTACATTGTGGAATGCTATAGGGCGGCAGACTCACGAGACACTCTTCCAAGGAGCGGTTATTCGTTTTTAGAGCATCCATTTCGTGTCAAGTGGGACTATTGCTCAAGGTGAACTCAATACTATGACATGGTATTGCTTTCGGGATTACGGAAGAAAAAGTATCAGGTCAAGAAGCAGGCCGGTTTGCGGGACAGATATCGAATGGAAGATGTCCCGCCAACAGTAACGAAGTGAGAAACGTGGAGTCCGTTTCGACGTGTACATGAAGCATAGTGACTGCACTGGAAACTGCCTTCAGCGAATTCGGTGTTGGTGGCGCAAAACCAAATGAGTATTTAGCTAATATGAGATAATGTTCATATGTTCCTCTTTTGAACCGGGAGTATGTATCTGACCTTTTACACGTGGCTCCTAGCTCCTAGCAACCTTCAATAACTACACGTTGTCGACGCAGCACACAAACTTGATCAGCTATTGCTGACAAGTGTCCACTCCTCTGGAAGTAAGTCGAGCAGAAACATTTTATCACGAAATGCCCGGGCAAACAATAAGCCAATGTTGAGTGTGGGGAAAACGTTAGCAGGCACTAAACGTCTACTGTCATCTGGTATATTTCGATAGCGAGATGGCCCAAGTGGTTAGAGCGCGAATTTACTGACCGCAAGGTCTATGGTTCGAACCCGACCTCTGCCTCTCGAATTCCCCTGTCTAGGCTTGAGCAACCTGGCAGTATCCTAGCCCTCGTGCTTCCTTCGGGTAGCATCGGGTGTTACAGCTGAGAGATTTTTTTTATATTTCGATAGCAGCCGGATTCTGTTGGCACGGAGTGATCTTGGACCATTTCCGCTTACCTACAAAGACTCAAGAAGTATGGTTCACGGAACCCCGGTAGTAAGCAGACGTCCGACTCTGAGTAGTTCTAACAGATAACACAGGTTAAGCAAACACTAGAAGTGTGAACTTGGTTGAGTGGAAAAACGGAGAGTTAATAATCTACCAAGCTCTCTTTGGAAGCGAAGTGGAAAGTGTCACTTGGGGAGGAAGCAAAGCACTTACCAGCCAACATGCTAACAACGGACAACAGAATCTTCTCAACCGACTGTACCGGGCTCCAGCGTTCTACCGAACTCTCATAGCCCATGGGGTCATCTCCCGGTGCGTGAAGGATGGAAATACAAACCCGACCGTCCGGATATACTAAAACAGTTGGAGAATAGAAGGTGGGTAGTAGAGCCGAAAGACAGCCAAGTCATTTGGGTACGTACTTCGGCCAAATAACGAAATCACTGTTGAACTGTTCTGTAACGTGTTTGACCTATCTTTCCAGCAAGTGATTTTGCGAATTAGTGACCGAATCGCCCTTTTTACTCATCGTTTCACTAACAGTTGCTTTCATTCATTCAGTAAGTCGATCGTATCAAGTGGTATAGGGCAGGACTGTCCAGTGTATCAAAAGCCCCCTACATCTCCTAAGACCTGATCGTTCGCTGGAGCTCTCGGTTTTCACTTAGATTCTTCACTACTTGTCACTGAGGTACTTGTGTGCCATTGTCGATATGCATTTCTAGACTAGTAACCTTGACGATATTCAATGGTTATTGGGTCGTATTGAGGAAGTTGGGCAGATAGCTGCCACGCTTAATTCACGTGCTCTTTACCAGTACAGGTTTGCTTCATTGCGTAAAGGAGTTCAACTAGCTCAGATAGATGATGCTGATCTATGGTTGCTCGACGAAGATGGTGAATTAGCATTTTTCGTGCTGACTTGCGACGACCTGCAGGAAGCGAACTGTTCCAGGCAATCTTGAATTGTGATTCTTTATCGGTGGCAGACAGCCACATGATCTACTTGGACGCACGGTTGATTTCCACTTGGTAACCATCAGATTACGCGATGCGAGCGTCTACGTTGGAAATTCCTGCTAACAAGAGAAAGTTGGAGGGGTCGCTTTGTCTGTACAGCGAGAATCAACTACCCAAGAATTCAGACGATCGATTTGGGCATTTGCATGGCCCGCTGGCATGATGTCAGTGCTTCTCGGTTGACCAATCTGGTCGGATAAATGGCGATGGAAAGTATCCTTTTCAGAACTTAAGATAGCTCAGTGGCTAAGGGGCGAAATCACTGGTCGGAACGTCCGTGGTTCAAACCTGACCTGCGCATTTTAGACTCTATTGATTTGGGCAACCTGGTAGTACCTCATCCCTCGTGCCGCCTTTCGGATGGCATCATCATCATCATCATCAAAGACAGCCACAACAGTGTTGCCACTGATGCTT